ATTTGTTATTTTCTGTCTTGTTGAACTTTGCTACTAGTGTTGGAGCAAGATGGTACCTCATTGTTGTTGTGTTTTTAAATTTTCTTAACATTGTCTTTTGAAGAGCAGAAGCTTTTCATTATGAAGTCCAATTTATGTGTTTTCTGTGTTTTATCTAAGGAATTTTTGCTTGCCCCAAGGTCACAAAGATTTCTACCCTATGTTTTACTCTAGATCAGTCTTTGAGTTATATTTTACATATGGTACAAGGTACAGGTCAAGGTTCATTTTTATTGTGGATATCAAATTATTCCGGGAGCTCTGGTAGCATAGTGCCTAAGGCACTTGACTGCTCACCAGAAGGATGGCGGTTCAAACCCACCAGCCACTCCTCGGAAGGAAGGTTGGGCAATCCTACTTCCATAGTGATATTGTCTCGGAAACCCAAGGAGGGGTCGCTATGAGTCAGGGCCGACTCGACGGCAAATAACAACAACAGGTCAAGGTTCATTTTTATTGTGGATATCAAATTATTCCAGGATTGCTGAAGATTACCCTTTCTCAGAAACGATTGGTCGTATATGTTCCATTTATCTTCCCACCAATGCCACACTCTCTTGGTCATCACGTCTTTATAGTGAGTGCTCAGCTGCTCACCCAGAGGTTGATAGTTCAGACCCTGCCACAGGTGCCTCAGAAGAAAGGCCTGAGGATGTGCATCCAAAAGGACACAACCTTGAAAGCCCTGTGGTGCACCACTCTCCCCTGCAGCACATGGGGCAGCTGTTTGTTTTGGTTTATGTTGTTATCATGTGCCGTTGAACGTCAGGTCCCACTCATAGCAACCCTGTCTTTTTTGGTCTTTAAAGACCTGGTATGAGTCTTTGAATTTCATGCACTGTACTCCTGAGTGTTCTAGGAACAGCACAGAGGCCACAGTGGCTGGAGTGGAGTAAATGAATAGTGAGATCAGAGTGGTAACAGGCAGCCAAATCATGTAAAGCCTTGTTGAGTTGTGTTGAGTTGATTGCAACTTACAGTGAACCTGTCGGACAGAGTCAGACTGCCCCATAGGGTTTCCAAGGCTGTAAATCTTTATGGAAGCAGTCTACCCCGACCTCCCCCCCCCCCCCGCAATACCAGAGCTCCTTGTAAAGCCTTGTAGGGTTCAGCTTTCATTCTGAGGGCAATGGCGAAGTTCTGGAAGGTTTTGAGTAAAGGAATTACATGATCTGACATTTATCAACAGGATCGTTTTGACTATTGACTTAAGAAAATGTAAGGGGGAGCTCATATGGAAGCATTTCCTAGTCTGGATTTTGCCGATTGTGTTGCCCTGATAGAGCCTAACATGTTCTGCCATGAACAATATGTTAACTGAAAATGATTCATCAGCTGGTTTTTCACACGTTCTTTCCCTGTTCTCGCCTTGTTTCTTTTACAGCTGTACTGTATCTGCACTGTCAGAGCATATCTCATGTAGCGTATTGTATGTATACTTTCTCATACCTTCTCACTTGCCTGTAGTTTAGCAAGTAAATAGACACGTAATTCTCACCTTTAAATCTTTCTTCAATCATTTGGTTTTCTGAAGTTTACTCTTTAGTAGATTCCTCAGAAAGAGCTCATGGGAAGTGTTCTCTTGGTTCTTAAATTTAAATGACAATACAACTGCATCCTTTGTGCTCAAAGTTTATTTAGGCTGACTGTAAAATTCTTGACTTTCATTTTCTTTTCTTGAAATCTTAAATACTTAGTTTAGGTTTTTTCTGGTTTAAAATTATTGTTGCTTTTTTGTTTGAAAATATTTTCCATTATTCTAACTTATATTTATTGATGTTTCAAATAACTATTACAATGAAACAATTCAGGATGCACATAGTAAATTGAAGCTGACTTTGATGTAATGCCAAGTCAGTAATAACATGTTATTAAAATGAGGTATTTTGTGACCTTTAAGTATAGGGCATTTTAGGCGGCTTACTGTTTTCTTAGAATAGTTTAATCTTCTGTTTCTGATAAAGGAGAAAGAAAATGGATTATTTTCCCCTTTTTTTGTAATCATAAGGACACTTCAGAAAACTAACATTTGCTTATTTATATTTGGATTCATTGACAAAGTACATGTGATGCAATGTGGTGATTGTTTGGTATTCAGGTTTCTGTTTTGATACTTGATATGCTTATTCCTTAGAATTATCCAGCTGACCTGAAAGGAGCCTTCATCACTCTACTGAAAGAATTACTTGTCAGTTTTCTTGAACAAGTAGCTTATCATAGCATGATAATAATTTAAAGACTTAAACACTTAAAATGCTTTCATATGTAAAATGCATGTTGTTATAAGTAGATCATATCAGCATGATAATCATTTAAAGACTTAAACACTTAAAATACTTCCATATGTAAAATGTGTATGAAGCAAGGAGGCATATTTTTTCCATTTAAGTCTGCTCAGACTTGGCTTGTACTCAATGATAAAGCTCTTTCCGTACTTTGTCTTTCTGACTTCTGGGGATTTTTAAGCCTTTTGAGCTTTGAAAAGCATCTTAGCATCTACGGAAGTGAGAATGTAGATTGAAGATCTACGGAAGTGAGAATGTAGATTGAAGATCTACGGAAGTGAGAATGTAGATTGAAGTATTGCTGCCTACCGGGTGTGTGTGTGTTTCTGTCTGTCAGGGTTTCTAATTCCAATCACAAGAAATACTCAAGTAATCATCTGGGGCCTACCAGAAAGATATAGTTACAATTTAGGAAGCAAAGTCATATTTTGGTCCTAAAGATTAATTTGATACCTACTTGTGTCATCTTTCAGAATCTTTCAGGGTTTTTGTTTGTTTGGTTGGTTGGTTTTTGGTTTAAAATGCAACCAAGAAGGGCTGGTGCAGCAGTGATGCCCTTTTTAAAAATTTTCCTTGAAAGCCAGGAATTGTTTTTTGAATGTGTATTTTTCCAGCATGCTTATCCTTCATTTTCTGTCGTAATTTTTATCACTTTATTTCGTTTTGTATTTTATAGGAGATCTTCACGACTTGTAGAATTTGATTTTAAAATTCTATCCATATGTTATCGTTCCTATTCTCCAGTGAGTTCTGATAGTTAAAGCATTCAAACACCGCATGCAGAATTGCTAAACTCAGTCGTAGTTGCCGTTGAGTCAGAGCTGACCTTATATATTCCAGAATGGAATATCGCCTGGTCCTTCGCCGTCCTGACAGTTGCTGGTGTGTTGGGGGCATTGTTGCAGCCTCTGCGTCATTCTTTCTCCAGCAGTTGGTCCCTGGTGCCTTTTGACCTGAGGGCTCGTCTCCCAGCCCTGTGTTGTACGCTGTTCTCTTGTTATCCCTGGGTCTCCATTGGGTCATCTTCAGAAGTAGATCCTTACATCCTAGCTGCCTTTAGTCTAGAAGCTCCACTGAAACCTGCTGCCAGAGATGGTCCTGCTGATACTCGAAATGCCAGTGGCATAGCTTCCAGCATCATAGCGTCACACAAGCCACCGTAGTGCGACAGGCTGACAGACGGGTGGTGCTATACTCATATGCCAAAATCAAACCCATTGCCCTCAAGTCAATTTTGACTCATAGCAACCCTATCGGGCAGGGTAGAATGACCTCACATAATCTGTAATCTTTACAGAAGCAGACTGCTACATCTTTCTCTTGCAGATAAAGAAAGTCCATGCATTCTTACAAATGCGTACTTACATAAGTTATATTTTTTAAGAATTTAATATGCTTTTAAAATGTAGCTTCCTTACCCATACATGCCTTATGCTGCTGTATAGTGTTTTGTTATAGGAATATGCACAACATAATGTATTCATTTCCTTGGTGGTCATTTAGGTTATTTCCAATTGTCTTACTGTTACATTATTGCATTACCAGCTATAGATAGGTCCCCCATGCACATGCATATTTATCAGTAGAGAGAATCTAGTGAGGAACTATATGTGCATTTTCTGTTTTTAAAAGGGACAGCCAAATTTACTTCCAAAATGGATAAAAGGAAGTGTATTCCAAAACGCAGTATAGACTATTTTCTCATAATTCTACCTACCCTAGATTTGATGAAAAAGAACTCTGGTGGTATAGTGGTGAAGGCATTTGACTATTAACCAAAACGTCAGTGGTTCAAACCTACTAGTGGCTCCACTGGAGAAAGAGGAGGCAGTTTGCTTCTGTAAAGGTTTATAGCCTTGGAAACCCAGTGGGAGTCATGTGAGTCAGAATCCACTCGATGGCAGTGTTTGGAGTGACATATGATCAAAAGAAGGCTTGGCTGTGCAGTGGTTTAGCACTTGGGTGCTAACCAGACGTTGGCGGTTCACATCCATTAGTGGCTCTGTGGAAGAAAGATGTAGCAGTCTGCTTCTGTAAAGATGATTGCCTTGGAAACCCTGTTGAACAGTTCAACCCTCTCCTGTAGGGTGGCTATGAATCAGAACAACTTGATGGTTTAGGGTTAGTTGGTGGTGCAGAGCCTAAGGCATTTGACTGTTAACCAGAAGGTTGGCAATTCAAACCCACCAGCTGCTCTGTGGAAGGAAGATGGGACAATCTACTTCAGTAAAGATTTACAGCCTTAGAAACCCAATGCGTGTCACTATTAGTTGGACTTGACTCGATGGTAGTGAGTTTGTATGTTTTTTTGATCAAGCTTTAAAATTTTACTGATCTGATGAATGTGAAATAACACATCTCAGTTGTTTTAATTTACATTTTCTAATTGTGGTGAATTGAGCATTTTTTCCAATGTTTGTTGACTATTCAGGTTTCCCTTTTTGTGAAAGCCTGTTTATATCCCTTGCCAGCTTATCTGTCGGCTTACTGTCCATAGATTTGTAGGAGTTATTTATACATTCTTGATACTAACACTTTTTACGTATTTTGCAAGGATTTTTGTAAGTCTGATTATACAAACATTCTTCAGAGTAAATCGAATTAATCTTACAATTTTTTGTGTTCTGAATTTTTATGTTAATGTTGTTTTCCATTTTTTCTCTGTAGGTTATGAACGTGATTTCTGATGAAACTGGATTGGAATAATTTTCATGATATTTGTATATTTATACATATATATATATATATTTTAAATTTTTGCATTTGACTTAAAGTGCCATGAGAAAATTTGCATATTGCAAGGTGGTCCTAGCCACCTCTTTGATTTGGGTACTCTTGGATATGTTCCTGCTGCTTTACTTCAGTGAATGCAACAAATGTGATGAGAAGAAGGAGAGAGGACTTCCTGCAGGGGATGGTGAGTGAAATTTTGTAATATTCCAACCATTTGGATAAAGAAATCAATGGTGTTTATTAAGTAATTTGTATAGTGTAAAATTTTAACTTTTTAGATTAACAGTCTTGGATTCCCAGATGTGATGATCGTATTTCTAGCAATTCTCCAGTGAGTTCTTCCAATAGTTAAAAATACTAAAGCATGATGTATAAAATTACTTAATTCTGTTTTTTATGTAAATGTAGTTAATTTTCTAGAATTTATTTTATGTTACAGAATGAGGTATGTAATCTCATTATTGGAACTGTCAAAATTATACAGAAGATTAGTCTAATGCCATACTGCCGAGTGGGGTGTTAAAAATCTCATCAGTTACCAAGAGAGATTTACTCTGCCTTCCAGTCCAGTCCTAAGGAGGCAAGTCATTGTGGATAGGTGTGATCCTGAGAGTTAAAGAACTGGAGACAGCTCCAGTTAGCACTTCCAAGGAGGGCTTTTGAAAAGATTGGATGAAAGAGTACAGAGCTGCAGTAAAATCACTGCAGTATATGGGATGTACAGATATAGAGGGCCTAAGTGGGTAGTACTGGTCATTTGAGCAGGAGGCACTTGGAAAATTGAGTTTGAAGCTCCTTGCACTCACACAAACAAATACTGCTTTTTTTCTTTTGTTTTTAACCATAATGAAAATGACTGCATTGGGAGAGTCAGTGGCTTCACTGTTCTGGGCTTTAATGTCTTTCTGATTAGTTATAAAATCCATGGCATACAGTAATTCCACTATTTTTAGGAATTACACACAATTAGTTACTCTGATATTTCATTATCATTTTTGAGGATGTAGCCATATTTAAACTTTTCACACATTTATAATGAGAAAGGTACCTGGTCTTCCAAAATTTTTAATCTAAGAGTTATTTATTTTATAGAGGAGCTGATATAACCACTTCTGGAAAGATTGTTTCTTTCTTCAAGGGAAATATGTCTAAAATTAGATTTAGTTGCTAACACTGGACTCATGTAATACCTTGGCTAACGAATAATTATATTTTGACTTTCTTGTTAGGTTTTAATAAAATGCATTTTACCCAGTCACCTTATTAATTTGGATAATCTTTCCTGTTTTCTTTATGGCTCAGGTATTTTGTAAGTTTGCTAGGTGACAAAACTCTGCTTCCTTAACTGTTGCTGGAACTATAGTTCTTTGTACATTTAAATCAAAGGATAAATGTTGCCTACCATTCACCAGTCAGAAAACTCAGGTATTCTTTTCTCAGATAAACAAACAAACAAACAAACAAAAACAAATTCACTGCCTCCTAGTAGCTTCTGACTCATAGCAGCCCCCATTGGGTTTCTCAGGCTGTAAATCTTTATGGAAGTGGCTGATGAGTTTGCACCCCTGACCTTTTGGTTACCAGCCAAATGCCTTATCCACTACACCACTAGAGCTCCTTAAAGTTCTTACCTCTTGATACAAAGCAAAGGGCCTCCAGGGTCTTCCCATTCTATGTTGTTGTTGTTGTTGTTAGGTACTGTTAAGTGGGCTCCAACTCATAGCAACCCTGTGTACAACACAATGAAACACTGCCCTGTGCTGTGCCAGCCTCACAAGCCTTGCTGTACCCGGGCCCATCACTGCAGCCAGTGTGTCAGTCCATCTCATTGCGGGCCTTCCCCTTTTTTATTGATCCTCCACTTTGCCAAGCATGATACCCTTCTCTAGGGAATGGTCCCTTCTGACAGCATAACCAAAGTAGGTGAGATGAAGTGTGGCCATCCTCACTTCCAAGGAGCGTTCTGGCCGTACTTCATCCAGGACAGATTTGCTAGTTCTTCTGGTAGTCCATGGTACCTTCGGTATTCTTTGCCAACACCACAACTCAAAAGCATCAACTCTCCTTCGGTCTTCCTTATTCGTTGTCCAGCTTTCACATGCATATGAGACAATTGAAAATACTTTGGCTTGGGTTAGGTGCACCTGCAAAGAGACATCTTTGCTTTTCAGTACTTTAAAGAGGTCTGTTGCAGCAGATTTTCCCAGTGCAATGTGTCATCTGATGTCTTGACTGCTGCTTCTATTGGTGTTAATTGTGGAACCAGGTAATGTGAAATCTTCCACAACTTCAGTGTTTTCCATTTATCATGATGCTACTTATTGGTCCAGTTGTGAGAATTTTCTTTTTCTTCATGTTGAGATGTAATCCATACTGCAAACTCTAGTCTTTAATCTTCATCAGTAAGTGCTTCAAGTCATCTTCACTTTGAGCAAGCAAGGTTGTGTCGTTCTGCATATTACCGTTTGTTAATGAGTCTTCCTTCAATCCTGATACCACGCTCCTCTTCATATAATCCAGTTTCTCGGATTATTTGCTCAGCATACCGATTGAATAAGTATGGGGAAAGGATACAGCCCTGATGCACATCCTTCCTGATTTATGGCATTTGAAAAAACAAACAAAAAAAGGCAAAACATAAAATAATAAGTAGGTATGACAGTCAAAGGAATTGTTTTGAGTATGTTGTTATGCATATTCTTTGAACTGCTTTAGAGTGCTGATTTGGTGAAATTTACCAAATTCTTTCCTTTTTTGATGTGACTAAAGGTGTTCTAGGTTTAAGTTCATTGTCCTTAAGATAGTACTAAAGGCCTCTTAAAAGATTCTTGTTGGTAAACTTTTTAATTCTCTAGAATTCTTACATTTACTTGTTACTTCTCTACTGTGAGTTACAGGGGCCTGTCTTTGCCCTTGACATAGGGGTTTGTTTTGTTTTGTTTTCTTGAGCAGTTCTTTCATAGTTTTTATACCTGTATTTTATACCCTGGGCTCTGAGAATAGCAGAATTCTTCTGTTGCTAGAGAATTCTTCTGTGTTGCCCTTGAGGAAGCAAGTGAGTGTGAGTTAGGGCCTAGGAGTATTTTCCGTCTCTAGAGTGAGCTGGTTTCTTCAATTTATGGATTTGTGTGCTGTATAGAGAATTGAATATTTTTACAAATGCAATTTCAGGTAGAAATTGGTTCTTCACTGTACTTGATTTCAGATCATTAACACATTGATGTATACTGAATTATTTCAGCTGCCAAAATGGGAAACTTTGGCAAATACAGTATACAGAAGAGATTTCTGATGATTAAGAATATGAACATATGACTAGTAAAGGCTTTCAGACTCTCTTTATTACAGTTTTTGTGAAATGGTTAGAGGTTTTTACAAACTTAGCATAGTATGGAAAATCTCATTGATCATGAGATTAGAATAAGAGTTGAGCTAACAAGAATGTTAAGGTAGCAAAAAGTTACCAATAATTAAGTTTTATATATATATGTGTGTGTGTGTGTGTGTGTGTGTGTGTGTATGTATATATGTATGTATGTATATTTAAAAAAAAAAAAACCAACTCACTGCCATTGAGTTGAATCCCACTCATAGTGACTTCTCCTTGGGTTTCTGAGGCAGTATCACTACAGAAGTAGATTGCCCAACCTTCCTTCCAAGCAGTGACTGCTGGGTTTGAACTGCCAGCCTTCTGATTAGCAGTCAAAGGGCTTAGGCACTACGCCACCAGGGCTCCCAAGTTATATATATTTTGATGTTAAAAAATCAGGCAGTATATTGTATTCCATCACATCTCACATGTTTTTGTGTATAGAATACTTATGTTATATACCTGAAGGACAAAAAAAATTCCAAGTATTGTAAGCCACATTCTAATATCAGAGCTATTAAAATGTGAGAAAAAATATTTTTAGAATAGATGAAATATAGTACATAAAGACAGTAAAGATGATAATTGTATCATAAGATAATAGTTTTGGGGAAAAAAACTATTTTAGCCTTTTATTAGTATTTTTCCCAAAAAAGGGAGTCATGTAACTATGTACCTCTTTATTGTACTTCCATGGGAAAAAAAATCTAGTTAGAAATTTTATTTATTAAAGTACATTCAGAGGTCTGTCACATAGTTTGCATATATGTCAATTCTGTTATTTGGGGATGGACTTTCAGAGTCAACTTTGTGAAGAAGTTTTCTAAAAGATGACAATTTTACATTGTCATGGAAATTGAGTTTAACTGAAGTGTATAGTAAAGTATGTGTGTTCTTACGTAGTACTTTAGAACACTCCCTTGTCAATTAAAATTGATTTGATTCTTAGAAATGAGCTACATGTAAAATTTCATACAAAGAACATCTTTTTTTCAGTTATTGGAAGGAAGATATCCAAACCCCATTTCAGTTGCTTTCAAATAAAAATTTTATTGAACTCATTCTTAGTTTACATAAAAGACTAGTAGGAACCAACTCATAGTGACCCCTCCTCCTTGGGTTTCCAAGGCGATATCACTAGGGAAGTAGATTGCCCAACCTTCCTTCCGAGGAGTGGCTTGTGGATTTCAACCTCCAGCCTTCTTGTTAGCAGTCAGAAGCCTTGGGTACTACGCTACCAGAGCCCCATGATAATTATTACTCATAGTAATTTTATGAAAAAAAAAAAAAAACCAGAAACCAAAAACCAAACCAAACTCTCTGCCACTGACTCAATTCTGACTCATAGTAACTAATTTGTTGTTGTTGTTGTTATGTACCGTGGAGTCAGACCTGACTCATAGCGACCCCTCCTTGGGTTTCCAAGGTGGTATCGCTATGGAAGTAGATTGCCCAATCTTCCTTCCAAGGAGTGGCTGGGGGTTTGAACTGTTAGCCTTCTGGTTAGTAGTCAAGTGCCTTAGGCACTAAGCTACCAGAGCTCCTATAGTAACTAATAGTATTCATACAATTTCATAAATATGACACTTATAGTAAGATTTAAAAGATAGACTAGTCACATAGACGTGGTATTGCAAAATATTCTTTTTTATGTTTCCTTCTCCCCACCTTAATGGAAAACTTCAAAGTTATACAAAAGTAGAGAGAACATTGAATTCCTGTATCTCTGTCTCCCAGCTTCAATAGCTGCCAACTCATGACTGGTCTTGTGGCAGGGATACTTACCGCTCTCTCCTCTTCTCCTTCCCCACTTT